CAGCATGTCTGGCAGCATCTGTGAAGAAAAATCGGAGTTAACATTTTGGGTCAGGTGACCCTTCCTCAGAACTGGTGGTAGCTGGGAAAACTTCAGTTTGTATGCAGAAGACAAGGTGAGGGTAGGGAATTGGTGTAAATAATAAGTGGAGATAGAGCCCAAAAGGGAGAGAAGGACAGTTGGACGGACAAAGGAGTTGATAATGATCCGGCTGGGAGGGTGAATAACTTAATGGAGACTGTTAGTGACTCATAATTGGTAGTGTGTGATGGCAGGCTATGTGATAACAAGGCCTGGTGTGTGGGGTTGGGGTCTAGGACATGGGAGAGTTCAGGCTCTAAAATTATTGAATTTGATATTCAGTCCAGAAGGCTGCAGGGTCCCCAAGTGCAAAATGATGTTCTGTTCTTCCAGCTTGCGCTGATCTTCGCTGAAACACTGCAGCAAGCCTGAGACAGAGATGTTGGCCAGGGAACAGAGTGGTGTGTTAAAGTGGCAGGCAACTGGAAGCTCAGGGTCTTTTTTGCAGGCAGAACGTAGACGTTCTGCAAAGCAATCACTCAGTCTACACTTTGTTCCCCCAAAGTAGAGGAGATCACATTGTGAGCAGCAAATACAGTAGGCTAGACTGAGTGAAGTACAGGTAAAGTGCTGCTTCACCTGGAAAGTGAGTTTGGGCCCTTGGATACTGAGGAGGGAGGAGGTAAATGGGCAGGTGTTGCAGGTGGCGGGTGAAGGTGCTGTGGGGCTGTGGGGGATGTTGGGGGTGAAGGAGGAGTGGACTAGGGTGTTCTGGAGGCAGAAGGTGGACAAGAGAGGGGAGGAAAATATGTGTCTGGTGTTGGCATCTCGCTGGAGATGGAGGAAATGGTGGCTGATGATCTTCTGGATGTCAATGCTGGTGGGATGGTAGGTAAGGACAAGGCGAACCCTGTCGCTGTTGCAGGAGGGAGGAGAAAGGGTGAGGGCGGAAGTGCCGGAGATGGGTTGGACCCAGTTGAGGGCCCTGTCGACAATAGTGCTGGGGCATCCTTGCTTGGGGAAGAAGGTGGACATTTTGGAGGCTCCCTTGTTGAAGTTGGCTACACCTGAACAAATGGAGATGGAGGAACTGAGTGAATGGAATGGAGACTTTTCAGGAAGCATTGTGCGAGGATGTATAGTCCAGGTAGCTGTGGGAGTCAGTGGGTTTGTAATGGATATTAGTGGCCAGCCTGTCCCCAGAAATGGAAACAGAGATGTCAAGGGAGGGAAGGGAGGAGTCAGAGATAGACCAGGTGAAAGTAGGGACAGGGTGGAAATTGGAAGCGAAATTGAGGAACTTATCCAATTCTGGATGAGAGAAGGAAGCAGCACTGGTAATATCATCAATATATTGGAGAAAGGGTTGTGCGTGGCGGCCGGAATAGGACTGGAACAAGGAATGTTCCATGTACCCCATGAAGAGCATGAAGAGACAGGCATAACTGAGCCCCATGGGGCTACCCATGGCCACCCCCTTACCTGAAGAAAATGAGAGGAGTTAAAAGAGAAGTCATTGAGGGTGAGGAAGAGCTCGGCCAAGTGGAGGAAGTTGGTGACAGTTCAGGCTTTTACTCCAAAAAGAAGTAGGGAGCCCTGTGACCATCCTGGTGGGGGATGAATTTGTAAAGGGATTGCACGGTATATGGTAAAGTGGAGGTAGCTGGAGCCTACAAACTGGAAATTCTGAAACTGGCATAAAGAATCAGAGGGATCATGGATGTACATGGGCAGTGACACAGTCAGAGGAGAAAAAGCTGAGTCAAGGTAGGAAGAGATAAGTTCAGTGGGGCAGGAGCAGGCTGAAACAAGGCAGTCCTGTCTGTGGATTTTCAGAAGGAGGTAGAAGCTAGTTTTGCGGGGCTATGGGACTATCAGCTTGGAGGCGATGGGTGGGAGATCACCAGATGAAATGTGGTCAGTTACTGTAGTTGATAAAATGGTCTGATGTGCCACGGTGGGGTCATGGTCCAGGGGAAGATAGGAGGAACTAGGAGGATATCTGAGAGCTGGCGTTTAGCCTCTGCAATGAGAGGTCAGTACTCCAGACTACAACAGCACCATGCTTATTGGTAGGCTTAATAACAATGTCAGAGTTGGGTCGAAGCGCATGGAGGGTGGTCAGTTTGGAGGGAGATAGGTTGGATTGGTTGAGGAGGGAAGAGAAATTGAAGTGACCAATGTCATGTTGACAGATCTCAATGAACAGATCAAATGCAGGTAAAAGGCCGGAGGGAGGGGTCCAGGTGGAGGGAGAGTGTTGAAACTGGGCAAAGGGGTCTGTGGGTTGGGGAGAAGACTCTTATCCAAAGAAATGGGCATGGAGGTGAAGATGACGAAAGAAGAGTTCGACATTATGCCGTGCTCAAAATTCATTAAAGTGTGGGATAAAGCCAAGATCTTTGCTGAATACAGAAAGTTCAGTATCCCTGTGCTTAGATCCAACTCTGATTTTGTTATTAAGCCTGCCGATAAGAGTAGTGCTGTTGTGGTCTGATGTACTGACCTCGACATTGCAGAGGCTGAGCACCAGCTCTCAGATACTTCTTCATATCTTCCCCTGGACCATGACCCCACCATGGCACATCAGGCCATTGTATCTAGCATGGCCATTGACCTCATTTCATTTGGTGATCTACCCTCTTCACTGGCTCCAAGCCTATAATCCCCCAGCCCCACACAGCTCGCTGCTACCTCCTTCCGAAAATCCACAGACAGTACTGCCAGGGTAGACCCATTATTTCAGCCTGCTCCTGCCGCACAGAACTCGTCTTTTCCTACCTTGACTCAGCCTTTTCTTCCCTGACCCAGTCACTGCCCACAAACATCTGTAATTCCTCTGATGCTTTGCACCAGATTTGGAATTTCCAGTTTGCAGGCTCCAGCTGCCTCCTCTTTACTGTAGACATGCAATCCCTTTAGAAATTCATCCCCCATCAGGATGGTCACAGGGCCCTCTGCTTCTTCCTGGAGGAAAAGCCTGAACTGTCACCACCCTACTGCATTTGGCTGAGCTCGTCTTCACCCTCAATGATTTCTCTTTTAACTCCTCTCATTTTCTTCAGGTAGGAGGCAGTACCCATAGGTAACTGCATGGGCCCTAGTTATACCTGTCTCTTCATGGGACCGTGGAACGTTCCTTGTTCCAGTCCTTTTCCAGCCCCACCCACAACTCTTTCTCCAATATATCGATGATATTATTGGTGCTACTTCCTTCTCTTGTCCAGATTTGGAAAGGTTCATCGATTTTGCTTCCAATTTCCATCCGCCCTCACTTTCACCTGTTCTACCTCTGACTCCTCTCTTCCCTTCCTCCACATCTCTTTCCATTTCTGGGTATAGACTGGCCACTAATATCCACAATAAACCCAGCAACTCCCACAACTACCTGGACTACATATCTTCGCACCCTGCTTCCTGTAAAGACTCCATCCCATTCTCCCAGTTCCTCCGTCGCATATGTTCAGATGAGACCAACTTTGACTAGGGAGTCTCTGAAATGTCCACCTTCTTCCTCAACCGAGGATTTCCCAGCACTGTTGTTGACAAGGCCCTCAAACAGGTCTGACCCATCTCCTGCACTTCCCCCTCAATCCCTCTCTTCCCTCCCACAACAGTGATAGGGTCCCCCTTATCCTTACTTACAATCCCACCAGCATTCGTATCCAGAAGATCATCAGATGCCATTTCCGCCATCTCTAGCAAGATGCCATCACCAGACACATATTCCCCTGTGCTCCCTTTGTCCGACTTCCACAGGGACCATTCCTTCCGGGACACCCTGGTCCTTCACTCCCAACAACCCCCCACAACTCCACGGCACCTTCTGCTGCAACTAGCGAAGGTGCAACACCTGCCAAAATATGACCTCAGTATCCAGAGGCCCAAACATACCTTCTAGGTGAAGCAGCACTTTACCTGCACTTCCCACTATCTAGTTTACTGCATCTGCTGCTCACAATGTGGTCTCCTCTACATTGGGAAAATGAAGGTGACCAATTTGCAAAACATTTATGTTTTGCCCGCAAGAAAGACCTTAAGCTACCTGTGGCCTGCCACTTTAACACACGACCCTGTTCCCTGGCCAGCATCTCCACCTCAGGCTTGCTGCAGTGTTCCAGCAAAGCTCAGCACAAGCTGGAAGAACAACACCTAATTTTCCGCTTGGGGCCCTGCAGCCTTCCAGACTCAATATCGAGTTCAATAATTTTAGGGCCTAAACCCTCCAATGTCCTAGCCCCCTATCCCACACACCAGTTCCTGTTATCACAATACCCTGCCATTACTTGTTAGTCACTAACAGTCCCCATTAACAGCTATTCACCCTCTTAGCCAGATCGTTATCCACTCCCTTGTCTGTCCAACTGTTCAGTTCTTTCTTTTGGCTCTATCCTTATCTATTGTTTACTCCTGACACCTCTCACCCACCCTGTATTCTGCATAAAAGCTTATATTTTCCTAGCCACCATCAGTCCTGGAGAAGGGTCACTGGACCTGAAATGTTAACTCTGATTTCTGTTCACAGATGCTGCCAGACCTGTTGGGCTTTCCTAGCAACTTCTGTTTTTGTTTCTTATTTACGGTGTGATTTGGAATGGTATCACAAAGGTGCACTTCTATATTTTCACTTCAGATGACTCAAACCCATAGTGTAACTCTGGAATTGTTTATTGTGGATTAAATGTACTTGCAAATGTGTCATCAAATATAAAAGGCCAATTTAATGAACATATATAAAAATTTCTAAAATTGCAGTGGGTGATGCTTCTCAAGGAGAGTTCAAAATCTTAATTTTGTCTCTCAACCATCAGTATGTGACTGTAATCAGTTTGCTGCTAGTAATGTGTTGTATGTAAAGCATTTTGGGACAGTTTTTTTGAGAGATGTGGTATTGTATAACATTGATCCAATTCTTACTTTTTTTTGTAAAGAGTGGTTGATATGATTGACTCATTTTTGTTCTTTCATTTCCCTTTAAGCTTGCTGCTTTGGAGAGACAGATCTTTGATTTCTTGGGCTATCAGTGGGCCCCCATTCTAGCAAACTTCTTGCACATCATTGTTGTCATACTTGGCCTTTTTGGTACAATTCAGTACAGACCTCGGTACATTATGGTGGTAAGTAAAGAACTTCCAAATTTTCATGATCATTTGAACTCTAACTAGCCATTGTTATACTGGACAATAACGTGTTTAATCCAAGTGTAGTGTTCTAGGGATTAAATTTTTTATTCATAACCTTAATTTGGAATTCCTACTGCAGAATCACCATCTTCAGCACTTCCAACCCAACAGAATGCTTTGTCTTTTGAAAAAGCATACTGGTATGCAGGTAATGTGTTTCTTATAACTTTTAATGGTTGGAAATTTTGTGCATTCGGATTCCTGATGCATGCCCTCAGGAACAAGCTTTCACTTCTGAGGAATGGTCACCGGACCCGAAATGTTAACTCTGATTTTTTTCTTCACAGATGCTGCCAGACCTGCTGAGCTTTGCCAGCAACTTCTGTTTTTCTTCCACTTTTTGTATCTCTTTCCTCCGTGCCAATAGTTGATGACAATTTATGACAACCTTGTGATTTTATGACCATCAATACAGATATTTGCTTTCTATGGAAAAGTTACACTTGTTAGGTCTCAGTTTGAGTATTGTGTACAGCTGTGGGTACCACATTATGGGAAAGATACTAATGAATTGGAGAGAGTGCAAAAGCAATTGACAAAAATGGTTCCAGAAATGAGTAACTTCAGTTATGAGGATCAATTGAAGAAGTTTGGACAGTTCTCTATGGAGAGAAGAAGGCTAAGAGGAGATTTGACAAAGGTTTTCAAAATCATGAACAGGCTGGATAGGTTACACAGGAAGAAGCAGTTCCCACTCATAAAAGAAAACAAAAGATTGAGAGGGCATATATTTAAAGTGATGTGCAAAATAAACCAGAAGGATGTGACCAAAAACATTTTCACACAGCAAGTATGGAATGCATTGCCTGGAAATGTGGTGGAAGCAGTGCAAAGGAGGCATTCAAAAGGGGCATTGGATGATTATTTGCATAGTAATGGTGTGTGGCGATATGGGGAAAAGTCAGCACATTGGTACTAGGTAATAGAACTGGTGTAGGCATGTTGGGTCAAATGGTCTCCTCTACGCTGTAACAATTCAGTGATTTTGTGAATTGAAGTCAAATCCTCCAGCTGCCGTAGTGGGATTTGATGTGTTCTATCTGCTGTTTAGTCTCTGTCACTGGATTACTAGCTTGATAACATAGCTATAATGCTACCTTGGCATTTCTCAAAGGTTGTTAAATCCATTCTCCTATCACTTCCAGTGCTCTTATAATTTATCCATCTCCCTCACCTCTTTCAGAGGCACTGAAGAACCAGTCCTAGAAAGCATGAACCTCTCGTAATATATTAGAAAGTCATTAATGCCAATTCATTTGTCAGTCGTAATTACATTTTCCACAACTCCCATTTCTGTTAACCCCTCCCCATCTGCTCAATGCTCTGAAACTCCAAAATACTGCTCTCAACAACAAAGGCTCCTCTGTGGTATTCTGTATATGCTGGAAGGGTTACCTCTTTTATTATGTTGCATACTACACACAATCTTCTACCATTATTATTGCCACATTTCAAGACTCACAGAAATCTTCCCTTTGCTACTTCCCATTGCCAACTCTTCCTCCTATTAACCCCATATTCCCTTTCCGTCTCGTTACAATTCTCTCGCTCCCTTCCCATCTCCCTATCTTTCTTTTTTCTGTTTTTCTGTCTTTTCCAGCAGTCTATGCCTGCTTCCCTCCAACCTTGTCTTCCACATTCCAAGTCAGCACCTAAACATGACATATCCACTCTGCAAATCCCAGACCATTGAAGTGGTGAAAAGGCCAGTAGATATGGTGGACAACCATGTCTAATATTCTTACATGTTTATAAACCAGTAGAGCAAGAGGGAAATCTAGGAAATAAAATGCTGAGAGATTTCTGTTGATGTGTTGTCCAGGGTTTTAGTGAGGTACTGAAGTTTTTTGAGAAAATTCCCAATCTGTCTTAATCTTGGGATTGCTGTTTTTAGATGCAGTCTACTACCCATCAGTGGGGCAGAGTAGTGGTGCATCAGAGATTATGCAGAGCAGCAGTTAAATGATTTAAATAGGCTAGACACTTTCTGGACCATTTTCCTGTTGAATGGGGAGTGAGAAGAGGTTGGAAAGCACCAGTAAATGAATCACTATTGTAGTGAACTTCCTGTCTCCTAAATTCTGCAATCTGCATTTTTACAACCTATCATGGGCCTAACGTTCCGGTTTTGTGGAGATCGGTGACTGGGAGGAAATTCCCAAAATCTGCTGGTAACGACATCAGCACTAGGTCACATTGCTGCAAAAAAAAGCAAAAGAACTGTGGATGCTGGAAATCTGAAACAAAAACAAAAATTGCTGGAAAATCTGAACAGGTAAGGCAGCATCTGTGGAGAGAAATCAAAATTAACGTTTCGGGTCCAGTGACTCTTCTTTAGACCCTGCAACAGGAATATAAGAGCAACTTTTTTGTCAAGAGAGTGGTGAGTGCATGGAACTCCTTACAACTGGGAGTAGTGGAACCAAATATAATTTAACTGGAGAATAGATAAAGATATGAGGACAAGGAATTAGAGGATTATTATGCTTACACAGTTAGATCAGAAAAGGTGGGAGGAGGCTCAAGTGGAGTACAAATGCTGTCATGGACCGGTTGTTCTGAGAGGATTATGTGCAACACTATGTAATTTTGTGGAATCGTGAATTAACATGCAAGGTTATTCTCTCCAAGTCGAGGTGAATTTCTCAAATCTGAACACTCCTAACCTGTGATATGACAATGAACTCTGAGCATACTGCTTCACCCTATAGGGGGTGCAGCTCAGGAAATTGTAGACACTCAAATCCTTACCCGCACTTCCACCGGATTTAATAACAGGGTGCCCTTTTGTTAATTGTTGTGACCGTGCTGTCACTTTAAAAAGGGCTATTTTGTCCTGGGTTTTTTGAAGAGAGGTTATAAGGCAGAGGTGCTGCTGTGTCTACTGGAGTCGGCCTAAGCCAATAGTTTAAGAGGACCTTAGGGTTTTTTTTTAAACTGATGTAACAAAGGAAGGGAAGTGGCCAGTTCTCCCAGATCAGGCTTTCTAGTTTTTTAGCTGTATCAGTAGAAACTGATTGAGTCCCAGGAGGGTGGCTAGCTTCAGTAAATGATTCCTAACTGTGACTTTCTTTGATATCTCTCTTCATGTTGTTCCCTCCTGGAGCAGGAAACTGCACATAACAATCTGTGTCTGAATTTACCTTTTGCCAAGGTGTGTGTTTATGGGAGGTTACTATATTGGAACAGTTAATTATTAATAGGTACTGTATCTATTATTCCGTTAAGTTTTCACTAATGGGTTATTCTAAATATCTCTTTCTTTTGTGTGTATTTAAACTATACTGTTTAAATAAATTGTGTTTTGCTTAATGTTGAGTAGTATGACCAGATGCATCGCAACTGGTACTTCACATCCACCTTTAAAGTAAGAAAAAGTTAGGGTTTAGGCTACCTTAAACTATTCTGAGAGGATCTGGTCTGACCCATAGCACTGTATTTTGTGGGGAGGTTAGGGAAATTGAAAATGATTAACGCTCTGGTCTACAAATCCTGTGCCCAAGGGCTTCAGTCAAACTTGGAGACTCTGGTAAAACTCACAAACACGCAGAAAACATAGCATCTGAGCTGTGGATCAGGTCTGTCTATGCCTAGCACATTGTGATATGATTTGTTTTATTATTAATGCAAGTGTTCTACCATCATATTTCTTGGTGTATTTTTACAAAGTGTTTGAATTGTAAAGGATTGGAGGAGTGTTGAGTCAGGGTGAGGAGCACCTCCATGTTCTTAGGTTTAAGAATTCTTCCTCTAGCTCTGGTGTAAAATGCCTTAATAGGCTTCTGTGAAGAAGAGAAGGAAGTTTTCCCAATGACTTGGTCCATAACAATTGCAAACTGAAACCATTAAAAGAAATTAACTATTTGTCTATTTATACAACTTTTATGGGATTTTCCAATGTGTTTGGACCTTCGTGTTTGCTAAGAAGTAACAATAACTATACTTCAAAAGTAATTCCTTGATTGTGAAATGCTTAAATTCTTCTGACAATGTGAAAAGCGCTATATGAATGTGTTACCCTGGTTCTTATCTTATTCCACATAAACCAGAGTTATCATTTTTTATTTCAATTCAGTTTGATTTTCAACATCCATTTATGCAGAAAGAAATTGCATTTTTTTTGTTACGTTTTGCTGGTTTTGCTGAGATTGAAAACTTTAAATCCATTTTAAGAAGTTTTTAAGATCAGCATGAAACTTTATTATCAACCATAATAATGCTATTTTTAAGATTTTAGATTTAGGGGTGCAATACTCCAGCATCCACTCCAATATTGAGAATAGCTGTTTTTGTGCCAATAGGAATGCTGAAAACAAATTGATTTTGACTATGTTTTTAACCCGTAGGCTTTTGCCAAAATAGCCACAGTAAGGGCCAGAACAATACTGATCACCATTTCTAACCAATGAAATTAGTTTCATTGCACAATCAGAAATTTGTGCAGGTTTCCTGACACAATGACTAAGTGTAAAGAAAGTTTACAAATTATGCAACAGAAAAAGAGCACACCAGCATTTATTGTAATGAGCAACGTATCTTATCTTGAAACTAGAAAAGCAGTACTGTTATAAATCATTGAATGATATTATGAACATTTGGAATTAAAGTCTATTTTTGGCTGCTTTTGTTGATGAAAATATAAAAATGCAAGCATTCTACTTATAATGATTGAAAGTGATGTCTTCCATAACAGTTCACAACTTGCAAGGAGGATGATCCAGTGGTATTGTCATTGGATTTGTAATCCAGAGACCCAGGCTAATGCTTTTGGGGACATGGTTTAAACCCCGTTGTGGCAGATGGTGAAATTTGAATTCAATTAATAGGTGTGGTTTTAAAAATTCTGATGGTAACCATGAAACCATTGTGGTTCAGTAATGTTCTTTCGTGAAGGAAAATCTGTCATCCTCAGTTGCCTGGCAATCTACTCTGTTTGATTAGTTATGGACAATAAATTGCTGCAGTGGCCCAAGTCCATAAAAGAAAAAGCAAAAGAGAATTTAAAATTGAATTTTCAACTGTTGTAATTCCAGTTGAACAATGTTGACTTTTATCCAACTCAACATTGCAGTACTAACATTGCAATTATCATATCTTTAAGATCACATAGGATCTCTGTGCATTTGAGTACAATTGAATATTCATTATTTTCATACCCATAAATGCAGTTCAACAATTTGCTTACTGATGTTCATTCATAATTCTGTGTGTGAACATAATGCCAAACTTTGTGCTTTTATTTCTCTAGTATGCATTCTGGACAGCACTGTGGGTCACCTGGAATGTATTCATCATCTGTTTTTATTTGGAAGTAGGAGGTCTTTCGAAGGTAGGTTGCTTACTTAATTCTAGGCTGGAAGTATTTGAAGATTGTAGTTCACTAATAAATTTTGTAAGCAGTTTGTGGCATCATTTGTGGTAAACTTAAATGTAAAAAATTTTGAGTAATATAGTAGGTTGGCACCAACATGTGGTCCTTGCACCATTAGGCTTGGGTTTGAATCTACCACAAACCGACCTTAAGCAATCTTAGATATTAGTGGGGGAAGAAGGGTCTAGGCCCAAAATGTCAGCCTTCCTGCTCCTCTGATGCTGCTTGGCCTGCTGTGTTCATCCAGCTCTACACCTTGTTATCTTAGATATTAGTGGATTTGTTTCTGCAGCTTGAATGTTGGATGACTTCACTTATTTAGTGAAATATCAGTGCAGCTTTTCTCTGAAATTGAAATGGGCTAATGCAAGACTGCTACTCTTAGAAACTGGGATTAAAATATGCATTCACTTATCCTACTATCCCAGTGGAGAGCTTTGTTTGAAGAGGACACTGGTTGAACTCAATATAGTGCTGATTCTCTGTTCTTCCAAGCCTTTGAATGCAGCTAATATGAGATTGGTAAATGTATCTTAAAGTGACTTGTGAAGACAGAGTAGATGGAAGTTTTCACTACATATTAAATCTAACCTGATGATTATTCATACTGACACTTGAATATATTGAATAAATAACCTGTTTTATTGTTAGCTCTCCTGAATAGAGGAAGTAACCAAAATTAATCAATTAGAAATCAAGTTATATTATGTATCCTCTGCTATAATGGAAAAATAAATGATATTCTTCATAATATTGTACACTCATAACTAACCGTGAAAGGAAATTAAGTATATGTTGACCTCAATTAGAGCTTTGTTGATCCTCAGTGAGAAAAGCTTGTGGATTAGGAAATGCTTATGAAATTCTATTTCCTGTCTCTGAAAATCCAGCCAGAAATTATTGACTTTGTGTTTATTTTTGCCATTTATCAGATGCTATTGAAGTATGATGGATGTCACCAGAATTTTTATGCTAGTAGATTACTAGTAATTGCTGGTGAATTCAGGTCTGTTCTTTGCATTTGAAATCTGATTTCAAATTCAATCCAGAAATAGATGATGCAAGTCTTCTCCATCTGCTTATTAGCTTGCATCTAAAATGAGTTAGAGTACTGGGACAGCTGTTCAAAACAGTCCCAAAGTTGTCATTGATCATAATGTCAGATCAAAATGTCATAGACATGGAAGAAATAGGATAGATTCTTAAGATAGAGCAGACCATCTGGTCATGCTCACCATTCTTGATGCCTAAATAATATTCAGAACAAAGTGTTTCATTTTCCAACTAGTCACCTTGAAAAGAAAGCATCAATTTTAGGAATTTTCTTTGACCTCCTCTATTTATATTGTCCTATGTAATTTCTCATTATTTGACATGGAGAAGGAAGCACTTTGCATTTGATTCAAGTCCACATGACGTTATAACCATTATTTTTGTAGTCCAGCCACAAGCTGGTACTAGTAAGGTAATCTGTCCCACATCTTCTGCTGTAAATTCATCCATGAACAGATTAATTTATTTTCAGTTGGATATCCTTTGCCGAGTAGAGAAGCTCCGTATTTACTACGTTGTACCAATTTACAAGTCAGTGTACTCTGCTAATAGCATGTTTTGGTTTTCTGTTTCTGTTCCAACATAGCTGCAGTCTGATAATAAATGCTACTATAGGTAGGTATACTGTACCCTTCTTGTTTAGTGATAAAATATGCTTGAGCAATAGAATGATTATCAAGTAATTAATGTGTAACGTGTTGGTACAGATTAATAGCAAAGAGGTGATTTTATGATCTTGGGTTTGTGCTATGTAATTATGTCCACTTATAAAACGCATCATAAATGTGGATGTCACTTGCCATAATCTTCTGATCATTAGAATGAAAAATTATATGCTCTGAATTGCTGAATTCCTGATATCTACTCTCACTGGGTAACTCTCCATGCTGAGAGCATTAATTCATAAAATTACCATTTTAGTCTTTCACCCAAATGCTTATTTTAGTTAATTGGATGCGAACCTTCCATTAATGCGAATGAAAAGATGAAACCAAAGTTTAATTATATGTTAAGTAAAAGTCATACAATATGCAAAGATGGGGATATTAAATTCCTATTATCAGAAAATGTCAGTGCCACCAGTGTGGTAATCCTACGCTACAAAGATTTCTGAATATAAATGATACAAAACATCCAACCTAAAGAAACAAGCTCTGTGATGTTAAAGCAACAGAAACATTTTTACTGGGTAGGTAAATACTGGCAGCTCTGGCAAAGCATCTATCCTGACAGAGCTATGCTGATGATTTCCATTATTGAAAGAACCCTTGTTATTCTTCATACTTCTGAGGTTCCAGATTCTTTATGCACAATAGCTGGTGAATAAAGATGCCTTTTCAAATAGATTACTGATGCAGAGGAGACCACACTATGAGCATCGATAGCAGTAGCCTAGATTCTGGGAAGTGCAGGGGAAGTATTGCTTCACCTGGGAGCTATGTTTGGGTCCTTGGATACTGGGGAGGGAGGAGGTAAATGGGCAGGTGTTGCACCTTCATCGTTTGCAGGGGAAGGTGCCATGGGGCTTTGGGAAGCGTGTTGGGGTTGGAGGAAGAGTGGGCTAGGGTTTCCTGGAGGGTACAGTCCCTGCAGAAGGCAGACATGGGAGGAGAGGGGAATATGTGTCTTTGGGGTAGCATCTCACTGGAGGTAGCAGAAATGGTGTCTGATGATTGTCTGGATGTGGATGCTGGTGGGATGGTAGGTAAGGACAAGGGGAACCCTATCGCTGTTGCGGGAGGGAAGGGAGGGGGTGAGGGCGGAAGTGCGGGAGATGGGTTGGACCTGGTTCAGGGCCTTGTCGACAACAGTGCTGGGGAATCCTCCGCTGAGGAAGAAGGTGGACATTTCGGAGACTCCCTTGTTGAAGTTGGCCTCATCTGAAGATATGCAACGGAGACAGAGGAACTGAGAGAATGGGATGGATTCTTTACATGAAGCAAGGTGTCAGGATGTATAGTCCAGGTAGCTGTGGGAGTCAGTGGGTTTATAGTGGATATTAGTGGCCAGTCTATCCCCAGAGATGGAAACAGAGATGTTGAGGAAGGGAAGGGAGGAGTGAGATGGACCAGGTGAAAGTGAGGGCAGGGGAAAGTGCAACACCTTCCCATTTACCTCCTCCCTCCCCAGTATCCAAGGGACCTAACATACCTTCCAGGTAAAGCAGCACTTTACCTGCACTTCACACAATCTAGTCTCATCTATCCACTGCTCACAATGTGGTCTCCTTTATATTCGGAGAATGAAGTGTAGACTGGGTGACCACTTTGCAGAACATCTACGTTCTGCTCGCAAAAAAGACCCTGAGCTTCCAGTTGCCTGTCACTTTAAAACACCACCCTGTTCCCTGGCCAACATCTCTGTCTCTGGCTTGCTGCTGTGTTCCAGTGAAGCTCAGCGCAAGCTGGGAGAACAACACCTCATTTTTTGTTTGGGGGACCGGGCAGCCCTCCGGACTCAGTATCGAGTTCAATAATTTTAGGGCCTAAACTCTCCCATGTCCCAGCCCCCTACCCCACACACCAAGCCTTGTTATCACATAGCCTGCCTTTACACACTATCTATTGTCAGTCACTAATAATCCCCATTAACAGCTATTCACCCTCCTAGCCAGATCATTATCAACTCATTTGTCTATCCAACCGCTCTTCTTTCTCGGAGATAGTAGGAACTGCAGATGCTGGAGAATCTGAGATAACAAGGTGTAGAGCTGAATGAAGAAGGGTCTAGGTCTGAAACGTCAGCTTTTCTGCTCCTCTGATGCTGCTTGGCCTGCTGTGTTCATCCAGCTCTACAGCTTGTTATCTCAGCTCTTCTTTCTCTTTGGGCTCTATCCTTTATCCTATTGTTTACTCCCTACCCCATCCCCCTCTCTATTTTCTGCAGAGAAACCAACATTTTCCCAGCTACCATCAATTCTGAGGAAGGGTCACCGGACCCAAAACATTAACTCTGATTTTTTTCTTCACAGATGCTGCCAGACATGCTGAGATTTTCCAGCGACTTCTGTTTTGTTCCTGATTTACAACATCCGCAGTTCTTTTGGTTTTTATCCTGTATTTTGGCATCCTTTCTTTGAGTTTAAATCAATATTGTATTAAATATTCCTTTTTCACAAATTCTATTAGGGTCAGAGAGTTATACAGCATGGAAAGAGAGCGTTTGGTCCAACTCGTCCTTGCCGACCAGACATCCCAATCTGACCTAGTCTCATTTGCCAGCATTTGACTCATATCCCGCCAAACACGTCCTACTCATGTACCCATCCAGATGCCTTTTAAATGTTGTAATTTTACCCACCTCCATCATCTCCATACACGCATCACCCTGTGCATGAAATAGTTGCTGCTTAGGTCCCTTTTAAATCTTTCCCCTCTCACCTTAAACCTATGCCCTCTAATTTTGGACTCCCCTGTGCTGGGGAAAAGACCTTAGCTATTCACCCTATCCATGTCCCTTATGATTTTATAAACCTCTGAAAGGTCATCCCTCAGCCTCTGACACCCAAGGGAAAAAAGCTCCAGCCTATTCAGCCTCTCCCTATAGCTCAAACCCTCTAAACCCAGCAACATCCTTGTAAATCTTTTCTGAACCCTTTCGAGTTTAACAATACCTTTCCTATAGCAGGGACACCAGAATTGAACACAATATTCTAAAAGTGGCCTCACCAATGTTCTGTACAACTGCAACATGATGCCCCAACTCCAATACTCAGAGATAGTAGGA